ATCCGAATAAACTTTTCAGGTAAACCAGACATATTATAAAGAATATAGTATACGTTTCTGGGGGCGTATTAGATTTGTGCGCATTTGGGTATTCATTTCTGTTTACGTTTGCGCGCAGCCTTTGCTTACATTTGCGAATTTTCGGAGTAAATAGCATTCTGTTTCATTATTTCACCAAATGGCAATTTAATGAATAATTTAATTCAGTTTGTAAAATTGCACCAAGACACACACATGGAGTTTCGTTTGTAAGTAACAAATCGGGGTGAGGGGGGGTTGGTGGCTAATGGATGATTTGTGTACGATGATTTACGTTTGCGCGCAGCCTTTGCTCACTTTTATGAATTTTCGGAGTAAATAGCATACTGTTTCATTATTTCACCAAATGGCAATTTAATGAATAATTTAATTCAGTTTGTAAAATTGCACCAAGACACACACATGGAGTTTCGTTTGTAAGTAACAAATCGGGGTGAGGGGGGTTTGTTGGCTATTGGATGATTTGTGTACGATGGATTTACTTTCCGTATAGACAGAACACTTAAGTCAGGGGATATTTCATAGAGTTTCATCGTAAATAATTGCAAATGTATTTCAGCGGTTTCCCATCCCCCCCCCAAGTCTTTGGGCATCCAGCAGAATCCAAGCGTACTACGTATATTTATGAACATGTTACGACGTGTGAAATTAGTACTTTTAATCTTTAGATTTACTATTTTTGTGCATTTTTATCTGTATATTGTTCCAGGACTAAGCGCGTGTGCGTAATAAAACGGACTTATCCTGCTCGAAAATAATAGTTAAATAAGTATAATCTACCTTATTTACCGGAGTTTACCTCTAAAAGAATGCGAGCAAATGTAATCAAAAGCTGTGCGCAAACGTAATGATTTTTGCGCGCAAATGTAGTGGTAATGCGCGAAAGTGTGATGCACCGGTTTCTCGGTAAACGATAGAAAAAACGAATCTTTTATGAATGGAACAATTAAAATTTGACCGAAATTCTTCGATTAGCTTCTTTATTAGTGGATAAAGATTGTAAACTTTATTCCTCTTGTGATTATTTTTTTGCATGGATAGACCGAGAAACTATACCATCATAGTTTATCTAAGATTGTTTCAATTTGTGAAGACCGAAATTTTTTTTTAAACCACCTGCTGTACCTGTTGAATTTTAGAGTCGTGGTTGTTATAAGGAATTTACTCCCATCAACACTCTTGGAGTGTTGTCGTTTTCATCTGACACAAGCATGATGGGGAAAAGTTGATGCTTTTAGCTGTATATAAATGTATTCATAATGTTTTGTGTTTGGTTTTTTTTTAATATTAAATGATTTTTTATGTTATGTTGAGAAAGTGCAAATCTCCTATTGAAAAAGCGCAAATGACCTTTTTCAAAAAGTGCAAATGTCCTAAACATTTAAGCGAAAATGTCCATTAAAAAAGTGTAAATGTCCTGTCAAAAAGCGCAAACGTCCTGCGCCGGACCAGATTTAATAATCAGAAAACAATAGTTCTTTTACCAATTGATATACCTGCAACTAGTTCAAGCGTGTAATTATTTTAATAAGAATGGACATTAATGCTTTCATTTTTTTCTCCTTCAAAGTTATTAAAATAATTAAAAACGTGTCTAGGTAAGTAGATCTCCAAGATAAAAGGACCTTCAGGAGCGTAAATTTTTGAAAAGTAAAAGTTTATATGTATCTGTAGTGCTAAATGCATCCGCCCTGGAAATATATGCATGATTGTGTACGTTTTGTTTTTGTTTTTTGTTTTTTTGTGTAAGGAATGTTACCTTCAGTTATAAGGAGTATCGTTCATGCGTTCATCGTATAACACTATTGGCTATTTTATTGTTTATTTCGTGGCTGCGCTGACATAAACTAAAAAGGTACCAAGATAACGTTATTTATACTCGATTGTTTGATCAGTCTGTTCACAATAGCTACACGTCATTGTACCAACTTAGTGGGGAAATTACCAATCAACGTACCTCGCGATCGATTGTGCATGATGCCCAGCTTGAACTTTAATTAAGCCGATTAGGTTTTATTCTCAATCTTAAATTTGTATAAGAAATCAAAACTTATGAAGGACGGAAAATATGACTGATATTGCTATAAGGCACCTAGTCGGTGTGGTATTATAAGATAACAGATCCAACGGCATTGAACGATTATAGCCCTATTCACCAACAAAAGAGAACCGGAATGAGTCATGCAAATCCAATATTTGCTATACCAATTAAAATTATAAATTACCATATAATTGAATAATGAGTTGAAAGTTTTCGTAACATCATATCTTTCACGATCCTTTTCACGATCTTCATCAAGCGATACACGATCTTTCATGATCCAAAAAATCATTTTGTTTGTGAATATTTCCATTTTTTGCAAAATTTCTGATTATGCTAACACAAAATAACTGTAAGAACCATTTGAATCATTAAAATGGATTGACATTTTTCAAAGAAAAGTTGTTTAGTCATTCGAATTATGATAAATCTTGTTTGTTTACATATTTAATGTCATTGAAATGTCGAGGATCAATCTATCTTTTATAGATTTGTAAGAACGGTTTACTTTTAAACCTTGATTTTTCTCAGATACTGATCATTATGTTGAACCATTTTGACAGACAGTTTTAATTTTTGGTAAATTTGTCCGTATAATTCATTATATTGGATTAGTAATTGACCTTACATATGTCTTCTCGATGACATTGAATTCACGAACCAATACCAGAGCTTTCACCATCCAATCGTAATACTTGACAACCATTAGGTATTCTTTCACGACCTTTTTTCTCGATATACCGAATGACAGCCGTGTTCTGGAGGAATGAAAAAACGTGCACTGCAAAATCCTGTTAAGCTTTTTAATTTTCTAAAACATAAAATATACTTGATGTCTTAAAATTTTTCCAGATACACAGGATTGTCAGTACTTAGAGAAAATTTTGTGGTGAAAATGCAGTTATTTTAGCCAAAGGGTCCACATAAACCTTAATATATCTATTTCGAACTAATGTAACTTAATTTACTAAACTCAGGCATGCACAAACAACCGGCATACAAAGTATACATACAATCAAAATATATCTACAAAAGAGGAAAACATACATATTAATATGGTTGTATAGTTATATACCCACATTAACAGGTTGGTAAAAATAATTACGAACTGCTACTACATTAACTGATAGACAAACTTCGAATAACTTCAAATTCTTCAATGAACATTTAAGTAATACTTAATCATGTTTTCACGAATCTCATGTGCTGCATATACCCTTAAAAGCCACATTGCGAGTACATGCCATCCAATCATAACTGAAATAAACTCAAAACATGAGCTTATTATAAACACAAGCATGTGTTAACAATCACTTGTCCGTTACTAAATCATGTAGCCAATAATTTTAGTACTAGTAAATATATTTCGTGTACGTGTATTGTTAAAGGAGCATTAGCTACGAGAAAAAAAAAACAAATTAGAATATGAGTTTGTTTGTTTTAATCATTAATAAAAGTGAAATAATGAAATAATAATTTTGTCAAAATAAGCAAGGGACCATCGATAATGAAATCTACATTTGCAAGTGAATAATTCGAACACGTTGAATCCGTATTCATGAGACCATCAATTTAACCCATAAGATTGGTTGGGCATGCATTAGTCGTGTTAAGCCATTAAAAGGAAAAAAATGTCAACATTGAAAGTGAAACAAATGTGAACCATATCGTTGACTGATTCTATCAACAAAATATCATTCTTATACAGGTAAAAACTTCAATTTAACTCTGTAACTTATTTTTTAATCTATAACATGAATTAAAACAGACATAAAAAAAGAAATCCATTTGCACGAGGTCGCTATCTACTTATATTTATGTTTTTATCGGGTTATGTAACCGTCAGCAGTCTTCGGAGGTCATTTCGATAGTTTATTAGATGGCGTCTAGACTAAAATACACACGAAAATCTGATACATTTTTTCGAGTACATGCATTGTAAACTGTTATTTCATACTTATTGTAATTTGGATATACGGATTTGTATGTGATAAATCAAATATTAGAATTTGAGTCAAATCGGTGAGCATGAATTTGACAGATAATGCCCCTTTAAAGATTTTCAGTTCGCTGTTTCGATTCACAATGTTTCGAAGACAATTGAAAATCAATCAAAAACAAAAAATGAACCAAAGGAACCAAAGGTTTATAATTACGAAGTTGAAATCCTTTGTATACTCAATCACAATTTGGTGAACAGAAGTAGAATGCAAAAACATGTTCAAGTTGTCGTTGTCACGAATCCTTCCTCCTTTCCTTGGTTGTTACATCACCGAATGTATCTTATCACCGAGATTGTGTTTGCAACTGTTTACCCTTCTGCTAGCACCTGACGTCACATCCTGATTTTGATGAAATTCGTGTTGCTTTAGTCTTTAGCTTTTGTAAAATGTTTGATATATCGTTGTTCTTAGTCGTTGTGTTGTCATTATACGATTTGTGTTTTTTGAGTGACAATACAACCTTCTTGATTGTCAATGTGGACAAAATTTAGCTCACGGTTAGGCTAAATGATTTTCTCGTCAACTATTCATTTGGCGTATATACAGAGGAACCAGGGTCAGTTTATTATATAAAACGACGAAAATACTTGAAAAAGGGTCCATTGCGTTTGATAGACATTAACATGAAATTTTCTCAAAAAAGCTTTGATTTGTTGATTTCTTTTTTGAAATGATAGGTATAAACTTCTTTACATGTGCTGCTTAACGCACTAATTGATTCCTTGAGTTAACTATGATTCTAGCTGTTAATTTGTTGACTTCTCTGGATGATGATGATGATGATGATGATGATGATGATGATGATGATGATGATGATGATGATGATCAAAATTTAAATATTCGCATTTCCAATTGAGTCAAGTTTTCATACTATTACATGCTCTGAAGATACTGTACTTTAACCACTTTCTTTGCAGAAAGCCTATTGCAGTTTATCCATTTCACCGATATGGAAAAATAACAATACTATCTACACCTGCAATACAGCAAGACGCTGCAAAAGTAATTCAGTCAACAAAAAACTTAAATTCAAGAGAAACAGATGTAATACTGTGTTCATCCATGAAATCAGGTTTGGGAAATTAATAAGTGTTTAAATAAAGATAACAAACATTTATAAATAACTTAATTTATAAGATAATAATAACTAAATTTGTATTCTTTTCAAACGGGATGTATAAAGACACACCCACGTTCATTTTGATCTATAAAGAGGTTAACTCCTAACTATCCTACTGCCTGTCGGTACATTTATTTTTGGCATTGCACAAGTCATGTCTCCTTTGACTGTCCATGACGTTAAATTCTAAATCCCTGGGATGTGTATTAGTTGATTTTAGTCTCTGATGCATGATTTTTTATTATTAATTGTTTTTTGGCTTTTAACTAGCTGTCAGTAACTGCGAGTACTCTCAAATCGTACTTTCTTGTTAATTTGATCTGTTATACTAATTGTTATACTTTTTTGTTATTTAATGTTTACTTATTCAGGGTTATATCTGGTCTATATACCAGCTTTGATAATTGTTTGGTATTACTATAAATTTTCACTTCTTCGTACTATGAACATCAAAATTATTTATTTTGTATAAATATTTTTTCTTTCTCCATTTGAACTGTACACGTATACCTAACAACTAAATTATTTTCATTTACCTGTGTTTAAAGTAATTGCAAATGGCTGATGTTTTTGTTCAAACATATTGTTTTTCTTAAATTGTTTAACATTTCACAGCGATATAACATGTTACTTTAATTATTCTTCACTTAGTTTATTTATTTTGTAATTACATTGTATCATAGATCAAATTTATTTGTTCATTGTATGTTCACTGGTGTTAATATGTCTTTTGATTGAGTTAAGCCATTTCAATTGATATTTTATAGTGTGTCTTTCTATGTTGTGATATTACACTATTGTTTCAGATAAGGGTGAAGGTTTGGTACCATTAAAACGTTTAAACCCGCTGCAATTGTTTTCACCTGTCCTAAGTCAGGAATCTGATGTTCAGTAGTTGTCGTTTGTTGATGTGGTTCATAAGTGTTTCTCGTTTCTCGTTTTTTATATAGATTAGACCGTTGGTTTTCCCGTTTGAATGGTTTTACACTAGTAATTTTTGGGGCCCTTTATAGCTTGCTGTTCGGTGTGAGCCAAGGCTCCGTGTTGAAGACCGTACTTTGACCTGTAATGGTTTACTTTTATAAATTTTGACTTGGATGGAGAGTTGTCTCATTGGCACTCATACCACATCTTCTTATATCTATGTAAGAATAAGTGTTTAAGTAAAGATAACAAACATGTAAAATTCTTTGAATCATTGACATGATTATGATGAGGAGGAGGAGACTGGGATGGATGGATGGATGGATTGCCAATTAGACAACTATCAACCAGAGTTCAAATGAAACGGATGTTAGCAGTTATAGGCAACCGTACTGCCTTTAATGATGAGAAAAACCCATACCGTACAGTCGCCGATAAATAACCCTTACATGGAAAATGTGAAAAAGTTTAAATGAGAAAGACAACGGCCTAATTTATAACATTTTTTTTTTATAAAAAAAACAAATATGACAGACATGATTCAATGACAAACACTGAAATAATTGCCCCTGACTTGGGACAGGCTGATATTAAATGTTGTGGAGTTAATATAAAAATAAGAAGTGGTATGATTGTCAATGATACAACTCTCTAAAGAGACCAAATAACACAGAAGTTAACAACTACTGGTCACCGTACGGCCTTCAACAAGAGCAAAACCCATACCGCATAGTCAGTTATAAAGTGCCCGAAATGACAATTGTAAAATAATTCAAACGAGAAAGACTAACGTCATAATTTATGTACAAAATGAACGAAACAAATATGTTACACAGCAACAAACGACAAACACTGAATGACAGGCTTCTGACTTGGGATAGGCTCATGCAGAATGTGGCGGGGTTAAATTCATTTGAAGGCACCAACCCACCACTAACCTGGAACAGTGGTGTAACAGTGCAACATTAGAACAAACTATAAAGATCAGCTGAAAAAGGCTTAACAAATCATATGGGTACAAATAGAAATACATCTAAAAAAAACATTGACGTGGCAGAGTACTTTTACACCCCTACATCAAAAATACACTAAGTATATATCTGAGAGTACTCGAAGTTACTGACAGTAAGTTTAAAGCCAATAACAACTAATAAAACATCATGCATCTAAGATTAAAATATCGATAAGTACACATCCAACATCCATCTTCAGTGTAAAGACGTCAAAAACAGTCAGAGAAAATCATGACCTTGTACAATGCCAATATACAGGTATCTACATATTGAAGAGTAATAAATGTTCATATGTATATGTATTTAGTTTGATTTTAATTTACTGATAACAAAATCAATATTATACTCGGGCTCTGTAAACAACATCTCCGTAAAAATGAATGCGCTATCCTGTTTGAAATAAGTTTTCTACAGGTACAACTAAACTTCAAAACCAAACCTTTATATCTATGGAAGAATTAAGAAATTTGTGGAAACGAAATCTTTGACTTAATATTTTACCAGTAATACATAGATTATGTTCTTTGGAATCCAAAACATCACATTAGACACGGGCATATCGAACGAGTTGTGATATATTAGCACCGTAAGATGGTGCCAAAGAAACATCACCGTCCAAAAAACGGAAAACTAACAATAAGAAACGAAAAATCGTCCATTTTATCGTAAATTTTAGTGAAGAGTTTCCCGTGTAAAATTGTAATAGCTCAATCTAGGAAAGGACAGTTATTACTGTTTACATTTGATTTATTTAAAGTAAGTTCCTTTGGGTAAATTTCGGCAGTATGTTTATAAAATTCTTGATTATTTAACGAAAAAATATCATAGAGATAACGGTAAGTGTTGTTGAAATTATCAATTAAATGGAATTTAGACGGTTCTTTACTGAGTTTGGGCATACACTGAGTTCGGTATTTTTGTGATTTTACTTCTTTTGTACAGTAAGAAGGAGTGATGAATTCTTAACATAAATTTTTCCTGGTTTCGCTTTAGGTACACACTGGACTCACGAAATTATTTCAATGCTTTTACACCAAACAACTGAGTATAATACGTTTGGTGTATTGGCCAAGTTTAACTTCGAATCCCAAACGGATTGGGAAGGATTAGAAGAAGAGGATAATCCAAGACTTTTTCATACTCATTTACCGCTTAGTTATCTTCCAAAGAAGCATATTGAAAATAGAAACAAGATCATATATTTGAACAGAAATCCCAAAGATAGGGCTGTGTCACTGTATTTCTTTCTTCAAGGAAAGCAAGGAGTTCCTGTTTGGACATGGAGTGAATTTTTCGAAAATTTTATACTCAAGGGTATGTTTATCATTATATATTATCGTTATGCTCATTTCGGATGTATTAGATAGTTTTCACCTATGTTCAAAAAAGGAAAATCTTTCTTTTTTTCAATTTTTATTTATATATTTTTTATTGTTAGACTGTTATCTCAAAACAACGACCGTTTTTACTAATGATAATGCATACAGTCAATAAAGATGAAAGGTTGTTAGGGTTAAATGGCAATGAGACGGCTACCCAAAAACAAATACTATTATATAAACGTAACCATATAACCTCTTTGATGCGCACATGTCAATAATTTAAGTGACAAATGTTGTTCGGCAAAAAAATATGGTAAGAAGACGGAGATTACCAAGACAGGGTCATTTTTCTTTTTATATTTTATCAAGAAGACTAAACTTTCAAAAAGTCCTTGATTCGCATCTAAATCTTTACACGTTATGAGTGAGCATCTTAAAGATAAATGAACTGACTACCATGAATCAATTTTATCTAAACTTAAACTTTCTTGGACGTAAACCATCCATGTCATTTGATATAAGATGGTTTACAGATACTCAGTCTTATGTTCAAGTATAAAATATACATCTGAAAAAATGATAATATTACTAATACAATTGTTTAGTCACATTCAGTATGAGAGAGGTGAACGATAACAAAGGGATAGTCAAACTCAAGAAACGAAAACAAACTGACAATGACATGGCAAAAAATGAAAAAAAGTTAAAACACAAACCACAACAAAGAAAACTAAAATAAAAAAAACACGAATCCCACCAAAAACCGTGGGAGGTCTCAGGTGTTCCACCATCTCTGGTTACAAAAAAAAAAGGATTTATGTTCGATATGGGCAGAGTTTTATGAGACAAAAATATGTTGCAAGATTTCTTTTCGAAAGTGCAGAGAGCCTGAGAATCTCGATACACGAGGAATTAATGTTGTATTCAACTTCCCGATTTCGACCGCAAGTTACTGCGTATGTATACACCCACACAACCAAATGGATGTCTCATTTCAGGATAAGTCAATGCATATCAATACTTCTATACCCAGTTATAATTTTAATAGTTTCAAGTCGTTAAAAACGAAAAACATGTCGGATTCACATAAGCGAAGATGTGAGACATATTAGGTAATTGCAATAACACAAATAAACCAAATGTAATTTGATAGTCGCCGTAGGCTCATCTTGGGATTATAAGTGCACGCACCTGTACGTATGTCAATACAAAAATAAAGAAAATGGTGGTTGCATAGAAAAGTTAACATTGGCAACGCAATGCGAACTAATATGAAATAAAAATATTAGCTAGATTTAGTAATTTTTCTCTTTAATTTATTACCCTACCAACCTGAGAAGTCATTAAAGTTGTAACTTATTATTTACAAATTACGATTATCATGTGTGTACCCCCTTTTTGTTTTTCTTTTTTTCTTTTGTATGTTTAACCTGTAAAGGGTTGGGTGTGGGGTGTGTGTGTTTGTGTATGTGTGTTTAGGGATGGCAATTGTAGTAACATCGCGTACTTAGAACAAATTCAATATATCTTAGCAAACACCATAGACATTGCCACTCAAGAATTGTAAGTTAAAAATGGACAGATCTGAAAACTTTGCATCTTTAGCAAAATCCTGTTTTCAAATACCTCAGTTGTAAGAAAATTATCTAGATTTGAGGAATATCTTCTTGTCTCTCTTGTAACTTAATTTCAAATTTCATGCAATTCCTTATGAAAAACGTTGTATGTTAGTAAATATATTCAACGCTCAGAAATATGTTCTACTGAATAATATATAGAAATAAGAAGATGTGGTATGAGTCCTAATGAGACAACACTCCATTAAAGTCACAATGTGTAAAAATTTTACAATTATAGTTCAAAGTACGGCCTTCTCCACGGACCTTGGCTCACACCGAACATCAAGCTATAAAGGGCATAAAAGACTAGTGTAAAACGATTCAAACAGGAAAACAAACGGTCTTATCTATATAAAAAAACGGAAAAAGAGAAACACTTATGAACCACATCAACAAACGACAACCAATGAACAAGAGGTTCCTGACTTTTTTACAAAGTAGATAAATTTGTTGTTCATAGTACGAGTACAGAAGTGAATATTTGTTTTATTAATATTGGTACAAAATTTTGAAGGAGAAAAAAACACAAGTTCAGTTGTATAGTGTATGATGTGTTCTCTCCATCATAACAATGTTTCTACGTTTTACCGCTTTTCTACTATTGAATCTGCACGTACAACATTTGCAATGAATTATAGACATTTTAAATATACTTCTGTTTTTATGTGTAATTACTCTAAATATCGATTTGATAAAAATAGGTTTCAAGAATAAACTTCTAGACCGATAGTAAATTATCGCGAGAAAGACTTCAAGATTTGCCCAAAAACAGATTCCATTCATATTTTATATATATACACAAACTACTATATTTTTGGAAAAAATGGTCAACCAATGTTTTTTGGTGAAACTCGTAGATACTGCTCCTTTAAATATAACATATTTTATAATTTGTTGTAGATGATTTGTACGGCGGGTGGTTTAACTTTACACAAGAATTTGAGAAAGCAGTAGAGAACAAGACAGCCAATGTTCTATCCGTCACGTATGAGGACTTAAAATTGGTAAGAGTCTTTTGTGTTTTTGTCAGATGATATTTGGTGAAAATCACTCTTATTCAAACCAAATTTTTAAATATAACATCATCAATATCGCTCATTATCTATATTGTTTGCTTAGCTTGATCACGTGTTCTAAACGTCATTTCTATTGGATCCATTAGCTTTAAAGACGATATCATATTACCTAGTTGTTTGTCTGAGTATCATGATATAGGTTGAAGTAAAGGACACCATGGATATCATATGTCCTTATTCGTACCTTGACCTAATCTACACATCGATATTGATATTGAGGATCGAACGACATTATAATACGACAAATGATACGTTCTAATTTTGCTATATGCTTTTTAACTTTGTATCGTTTTGAAGCAATACTCCAGCAACACATGCATTTTGAGTGTTCCCAGTTGATACAATAACCAAAAACTTGCATTTTCTATTACGACTTTCTTAAAGGAGGTTTGCTGTTTACATGAAGGGAAAAGAATCACGGGTTTCGTAGTGTTATAGTCGAAAATATGTCTTGGAATGTTGACCGTTACAGAATACCTGTGACAAAAATGACCATATATGTTTCATATATAAGATTATTCGTTTTTCCTTAAATGAAAGAAGCTCTCGTAAAATAGAGTCAATGGTTAACATTGTTTATATCAGTATTACATATGAGTGTACTTTTTTAAAAGTCAATTCCTGTTCATTTTATAGCTTTCTATGAGTTTTACTCATTATTGGAGCCTTGTGGTGACCAGCAGTTGTTTGAATTCCCCACCTTTTGTCTCGGTTTTCATAATTGTCTCATTGCCAATCTTACAACATATCCTTACTTTAATATGAATTTTTTCTAGATTCCAATCCAAACAATGAAGAAAATTGCAAGTTTCCTCAACGTTAATATTTCTGAAGAGTTAATCAAAGACATATTCGACAAATGCGCTTTTGATAATTTGAAAGATCATAAATTGGACGGATCCAGAGACATAGATCCTGAGGGAAATTCTACATTGTGGCGTAAAGGCAAGTGTATATATTATTTTTGTATTGATGCATACATTAATAGATGGTTTTAAGTATAGATAGGTTTCGATATGATGTCATTTGAGGTTGAGTTGTTTCCCTTAACTACCATGTTGGAGATGTTAATGGTTGATTTTCTAAATCTTATGGAATAAAACCACTACTTCATAGCCCCATTGCTTTCTATGTTAAATTTTGCAATTTCAAGCATTAATGGCTATTTTGTCTGAAGTTCAAATAAAGTGGCAATCATTTCATGTCAAAACTATAACTAATTCTGACTTGAGTCGAAATATTCAACATACCTTTAATTGCATAGTAGAGCGTACTGGTTCCCGGAAGTTTGGTAGTACAAAAACAGGTACTTCTGGTCTGTACAACAGAGCAAATGTGTCCTTCTATTTTAATTTCATATATTATTTTTATTATTCAAAATAAACTTTTAACAAGGGTTCTACAGTGATTCCAAGTCCTTATGCTTTCATTTGATACGAAAAATTACCCAAATATTTTACTTATTGACAAATTTACAGCTATGCGTAGGAACTATTTTGTTTAACATATGTACTACTTTCTTGTACTATGTTCTTTCTGATCGGGCCCGAACTAGTGATTCTATACGTTATTCGAAATGCCAAATTGAAACATGTGGTACAAAAACGTTTGAATAGATCGTTCTGATGAAATTTTAAAACCAAGTATGAAAAGAATTTAAATTGTTCAGAAAACAACTTTTCATGAAGTCTATAGCAGACAGTTTTGATAAGCTGAATTTGGCTCTTTTTTTTGCCGCTATGTTGGAAGTCAACTTGTACACTTTCCTTTAGAATGTTTGCACGTTGCCCTCCGACATGGCAACAAAAAGGAAATAATTCTTGCTCATATTGCACCAATCGAAAACTATATATTTATAGATTAATATTTGCTAGATGAATGGAATGAATAACGGTTTGATGCAAAAAGAAATAATGGACGAGGAAGCTAACTGAATGCTCAGTCTGTAGAAATACCAATCGCTACAATATGAATGGCATCTATAAAAGGGAACTTTTTACATTTATGCTGAAAAGTTTCTCAACAGATTTGTTATTATTATTGTGAATAACTCAGGTCCCTTTATTCTATGTAGGAAAATATCCATTAGTACTGAGTAGATTTTTTAGATTCATACTAACCAATGATAAATTCGATATTCCTATGGATTATCTTTAATGATAATCAACGCAATGGCAAAAAAAGAAAAAAGACCAAAGACAAACAACAGTATACAAGACACAACATAAAAAACCAAAGACTGAGCAACACGAGCCCCACTAAAAACCAGGGGTGAATCAGGTGCTCCGGAAGGGTATAACCGTTGTTCTTGATAAACAAAAATGATAGCAAGGTAAACTAAGTTTGGTGACCATAATGTTACATTTCATTTTTTTTTAATGTTTAAATAAATATTTTTTAAAAGCCACAATAGAAAATTAATAGAAATACAGGCGACTATACTCTATTGGTTTTGCTCATTGTTGAAGCCTGTGGAGCAGGATCTACTTACCCTGAGACAACTTTTCAACAGAGTCCAAATAACGTGGATGTAAGCAATTATATTCAACCATACGGCCTTTAACCATTTAATCATGAGAAATGCCCATACCGTATGGTCGGCTCTAAAAGGTCCTGACATGATAAAATGTGAAACAATTCAAACGAGAAAACTAACGGCAATATTTAAAACAAAATAATATACGAAAAAAATACGACAACCACTGAACTACAGGCTCCTGACTTTGGACAGGCACATACAGAATGTCTATGAAAAAAAATATTTTCTTTAGTCCAATATCGAATTTAATGATATAAATCAATCATAAATTGATCACTTTTACAGTGTTTTGATGGGCTAGGCTCAAAGAAAATTATTAGATGTTACATTGGTTTGTCTGTCAATTTAAAAGTTTTTATAATATAAGAGTTGAAAAGAATTCTTTACTTTAAAAATGATCTTTTCGTTTATCCATATTATTTGAAGACGTTTTAAAGAAACATGAACTTTAAGATAATATATGATTATGTCTGTTGATTTTCTTAGTCTTAACTTAAATGAAATCACAGGACTGTGTTTGATGAATTCCCATCGTTAATTAAAGGGTTTAACGGTCGCAAGGGCAGGTTTCCTGGCGACGCAAAGCAAATAAGGTCTTTCAATGCTAGAGGTAATTAAATGGCAATACAGCTGTAGGTAAACTTTGCACTGTCACTCCAGTAATCCAAATCAACACATGAATGTTTGTCGTTATCGTACCAAGTTTTTTTCCATTTTCATTATGTATTGTTAAATCATTTAAAGATTGAAATTGCCTCATGATCTTCGTTTAAAACTTCTTTTGTAGTAGAAAAAAAGATACGTGGAAAAAAACACAGCAGTACCATAAAAAACATTGTTAATCAAATGAATAAAACTTTTTTGTTTGATTTGGATCGTAATATTTTTTCTGAGATATTATCATATACAATCATCTTTATCTTTAGGAATTATTGGTGACTGGAAAAATTGGTTTACAGTATCACAGAGCGAACAATTTGATCAACTTTATAATAAAGAAATGAAAGAATGCAATGTAAAGTTTATTTATGACGATTAAATATGCAAACTTCATCTTTTTGTATTGTATTTAAGTGTACTGTTTTGACAACTATATTTTCAAAATACGTAGTTGAAATAATTTTGCATGTTTCTTCATTTTCATTTCTCATAAATTGAGAAATGTAGTGTTATTGTGTTTTTGATGTTTAGTATGCGTCTCTGTGTCTCCTCAAGAGGTTGTTAATTTTTTTAAATGACAGCTGTCATATTAACATTTTGGTTATTTTCCATTTACAGCTGTCTGAAAAATTGTTATGCAGTAAAACATGCATTTATATATTTTCTTGAAAGTCGATTGTGTTTATTCTGTTTTCTAAACATACTTACAAACAGTTTTAATCAATTCTAACCTCTCTTAATATATGTCAGACACTGCCAGGAGAACTTTTCTAGAACAATCTTTACTGACACTTTTATAACAGTTCATGAAAAAATATTTTCTGCTCTAGAAACGTTTTGGACAGTTCTACACTATTGCTCAGAATAGATCCTGACAGTTTTATCTCTAGAACAGTTTTAGACAGCTCTATCTATTTGATAGTTAATTGTCTTATTTATATATTTCATCTGCTTTTATTGTTTTATTCTATCTTTTTATTTATTTTTTTTTATTTTATTTTTTTTAACTTCATCATTTTACCTTTTCTATTCAAACAAAATATTCTAAGAAATCATTGTTTCTTTTCATGTTTGTTTAGTATCGTTATTTTTTGCTTGTTTAGTTAATTATACGTTTTCCTTTTTTGTTTTCTATTTTCTTCTTTGATTAGCTAAAATGAACCCTTACTATTAGTTTTTGCACATTTTGTATAGTTATAATAAACCAAATATGTATCAGTACATGTTTATATAAATGTATAATATGTATAGAAAAATAAATAATCAGATAACCTCGGACTTCAATCGCTCATCGGAAAATTGGTCATTGTGTTGTTGAAATATTTTATCTGTATTAAACACCAAAAAACCTCCTATGAATGTATACTTGTTTTTCAAAGAACATATATTATTGAAGGTAATACATACGGAAGTATTAGAAGCATATACATAAACGGACACCAACAAAAATAAAAAAAGAAAAATATATGTAAAAGGCAACTTCAGGTTTTTAAAATTGTGTATATTATATGTCAATTTCTAAAACCTCCGTATTTATACGAGCGGCGAAAAAATTCAACAGAGATTACCAAAAATATCGGCCATCAATACCAAATTCCTTATGGACAAAAATCAATCAACTACAACTTGCTGAATCCTGACTTTGCGCGGGAGTGTTTACATGTGATCAAGTTTTATCATCACTCAATGCTCCCATTCTTACCGAAATCAGTTGAGTTACAAGAGGTTTTAATTTTGATATATAACAGTTATTCGAAAAGAAAATTATTTCAACCATATCTGATACAACCAATTTTAAGATAGCAATAATTAAAATATAGTTTTGGGGGATTCATGTTTTTCTTGTGTTTTTAGTGTTCTACAGGTTTTTTTTTTTTAATGGTATGTGTCTTTAGATCGTTTTTGATTTTTGCCATGTCGTTTTCAGTTCATCTTCGACTTATGCGTTTGAATATTTCTTTTGTGTATTCCGCATCTCTCTAACCAAAACTCAGTATAAAGAGAAAAATCTAATCAAAAATTTAAGAGCTGATAAAACTAAAAAAAAAGAACACAAAGTAAATACAAAGCCGGGCAAGTCATACTCAAGGCATTTAGTTTGCGTGAAAAGAAAATTTTCCAGAAAAAAATGTTCTTGTTCAAGGCCAAATGTTTATTGCATAAAGGAATCCGTGACTAATCTGAATAAAATAGAACAGTTTAGTTACTGTTGACACTGCCCTAGGTAGATATCGCTGCTGTTAGACTGTGAGTACCCAAAGATATTACCCTCTAAGTAGTTAGTGTTACGATCCTGACATGATTTATAATATACTTTTCTTAAATATTGCGTCAATGAATTTTTTTTTAAATTAGAAAGTAAGGTTCCAAATCCCAAAAAAAAACCTAAAGCGAATCAAGCTTTCTGGTCCCACTTTGCCATAAAGCTTCTCACGTTTTCAGGTATTCAGATATCCTTGGATTTCAAATTTTTGGGTTTGAAAACTACTGGTGAAGGTAAATCCAGACCAGCGCTTCGGACACTCCAATTTTTTAAAGTTTTGTTTTCATTTTCTAGTACTTTGTAGATATCGCTACTGGTGGACCGTTGGTCCTCGATGGTATCATCAGCCAGGTATTCAGTGCTTGGTACAACCATGATTTATAAGATTCTTTTCTTCAATATACCGTTGATAAATTTAAAAATTATTTCGAAACTGAAGTCCTAACTCCCTCACTTTACATGAATTATTTTTTTCTGGTTCATTTTTGTTTTGTCATAACTCCTCGTGTATTCAGGTATTTATATGCTTAGGTTTGCGCGTTACTGATGAAGATATATGGTTAACAACGGTTCGGACGCATTAAATGAAAAAAGTGGCAGTTCTTTAAGGCCCTTCCAAGATAATGCCCTGAAACTTTTTTTTTTTTAATATTCTTGGGTTTTCACACATTTGGTCATGAGCAAACCCTGATTTGATAGGAGTGCGTTCGAACCTCGTTGGGTCGACTCGTTTTTGTTGGAAACTTGGATAAGTCGGTGTATTTTATCAGTAACGGTAATATTCCAGTTTGTTAAATGCGTTTCTACTTCGAATAGGTCGAAATTGCTAAATTGCGGTTTATTTATAAATTCGCGGAAAGAAAAATGAGCATAAATTGACCCCGATGTGTCGAAGTTTTAAGCTCAAGCATTTTTTTTTTTCTGCAATAAAATTAATTAATTTTAATGCTACATGTACAATTGATGACGAAAAAAAATGGCAAAAAGAATGTTAGAAACGGAACAAATGACAATAACAATTTATTCATTTTGTGCGACCGAAGCGCCTTTTTTTTATTTACCTTCATCAGAAACGCTCAGAAACCAAACAATTAAAATCTTTAAATGTTCTGTCAACATAAGGTCATTTCCCGAAGGATTTTGTAGTTAAACTAAATGTGATCGAACAAACAAAATCGTTTAAACTTTCAATAGTTTAAACAAACCCAACGTTTCGTCTGATCTTGCCTTAAAAAGTATGTAAAGAGCTACGTTGTATCCATATTAATGAGACAATACGTGATATATTCATGAATAAAGGTATACACTTAACTTCTCTATAACCATGATAACCTCGTTACTTTTGTGTGTGCATGACATATACATAAACATATTTTAAACATATTTACTATATATATTGTATTGACTTCAAGTTACATTTCCATAAATGTTTCGAAGATTAATTTGCTTCTTCACGTTCAACCGTGTCATTTTAAAAGTAACGGATACTATTTCTATACTGTCCTACCATTAAACTGATAATATCAAAACTGATAAGCATATGGAGTTTACGTAACAATCGTGTGCGTACGTGTTTGTTGCTATATCTAATCTTGTATAACATTTATAATGGCGGAGATTGAGAAAAGGTAAATAAACGCTTTTTATTACATATATTTCAACGTTGATAGCAATTAATGATATTTTAAGATTAGATGATGTAAAGGTCAAATTCAACAGTGACTTACAATCTTCTTGCAATTTAAGAATTTTATACTCCTCGCAAACAAATTCAAGTTTGGGATGTATGCAGAAATCATCATGTCCGTCTTTCCATCATTCCAAACTTACATTTGAATCATCCTGTTCTAAATGTGTTCACTAATTGTTCACATGTTGTTAAAAGCTGTCAATTTTTACTCTGATTTTAAGACGCATACAATGCAAAGTTTTATTTAAATTTTGAGAGTTTTAATTCGTTTAATTTGTAGTTATTCGCAGTTTAAATTATATTCAAATAACGAAATAGTGTATATTTAACTTTTAGTTATTATTTTTATTGTTGACCTCAAATATGGCGCAACTTTCGATAAAGTGTGTCCTTCATCTGATCACTTTCGATGGAGCAGGAAAATTTTGATAATTGGTTGTTACCGGGTTGTGCAATGTGTCAGTAAATGATGACATTAGGTTATATCTGGTCTATATACGTTTAACTCTAGTTGATATTTTGTAGCTTCTATTTGAAAATATGTTTGACTCTAGTCAATATAATTTGAAATATATTCACAAACAAGAGAAACATGATATAGAAAACAGTTTACATTAGACTGTTTGGTGTGTATTCTTTTGTTAAAATATCGATTGTTATCACAATCACATCATTAATCAAAATTGTGATATAACATCGATTTTATTGAAACCTCCTCTTTTCATTTTGTTACACTGAAATGTCTGATCGTAAAGGTTTCACAAATTAAGCCACTTTTTGAGTTGCAAACAAGAAATGGGACAACAAATGTTCGTTAATGCAATCAAAAATCTTTTTGAACTAAGACGACAGAAGTTAACCGATGCCCAAATCTCGTATACCGATAAGAAGAAACAAATCATGATAACAAACGGAAATTGAAGGAATCGTATGAACTCCACATAGAGCGCGACCCGTGCGACGACAGGGTAAGCGTATACTGCTATGCATGCATCATCCGACACATGCGATTTCACACTCATTAAAATGTCATAATCGGGAATAGGGCATATGTAATGTAGCTGGTGAGTTGAGACACCTACACATCGTATCGGTCAACCAATTCGTAATGGTGATCGTAAAACGTATGCAGTTATTTATTAATTCATATGAGTAAAAAATGTCGGCCAGTACTGGTGCTCAATTAGTACCCATTGAAATACCGAAGGTCTGCTGTAATATTATTGCACCAAACTCAACAAATTTTCGTCGATCAAAGTTCCCAGTATTTTGATGATTTTTCTTCGGTTTATTTGTTGTGGAAATCAGTGTGGTTTTTCACAAAGTAAGATTGTTCATGACCTTAAACAATGAATGTGTATCTATGTTTCCCATTTTTAAAGGAAAAGCCTTGTTTAATAAGATGATGAAATCGATCTTTCAAATGAGCATGAGAAATGACAGTGTAAAGGTTTTGATAATTCTGCAAATTGTAAAGTTTGTGATTGAAGGTTTCGGAGTAGATCTGAAAAATTTTCAGGACTTCACATCTAAATGCCACTGAATGGTGAAATATATCTCATGACAATACTTCTGAAAGCCATCTTTAACAGCTGATTGCCACCGCTGGTGAAATATATCTCATGACAATATTTCTGAAAGACATCTTTAACAGCTGATTACCACCGCTGGTGAAATATAGCTCATGACAATATTTCTGAAAGCCATCTTTAACAGCTGATTACCACCGCTGGTGAAATATATCTGATGACAATATTTCTGAAAACCATCTTTAACAGCTGATTGCCACCGCTGGGGAAATATATCTCATGACAATATTTCTGAAAACCATCTTTAACAACTGGTTGCCACCGCTGTGGAAATATATCTCATGACAATATTTCTGAAAGCCATCTTTAACAGCTGATTGCCACCGCTGGTGAAATATATCTCATGACAATATTTCTGAAAGCCATCTTTAACTGTGGAAAAAATTGTGTGAAGAACTTTCGAAAGATGTTTAGTTGAAAATCTTGACGACCCAACATCTTTGAAACGGTAGATTGCTTGAAATTGAATGTTTCGAACCTAACCAATTTCATATCCCTGTTCCATTGAAAAATGAACTCGTCATAGATACCAGGATTAAAATTTGCTATGCTAGACGCGTGTTTCGTCTACAAAAGACTCATTAATGACGCTCGAATCAAAAAAGTTAAAAAGGCCAATTAAAGCACGAAGTTGAAGAGCATTGAGGACCCAAAATTCCGAAAGGTTTTACAAAATACAGCAAAGGTAATCTATTCCTGGGGTAGAAAATCCTTAGTATTTAAAAAAATTCAAAGGTTTATAAACAGTTAATTTATATGTAATCAGATGAAGAAAACACTAGATTTAACAAATCCTTCACAAAACTCGCAAAACTTCTGATATAGCAGGTTATATTTTGTTTTATTTGTTTGTAGGAAGGCAACACCAATTTTTCCATTCCTTAAATATAGAAGTATAACACTACCCCCTATGCCACCTATCCTAAAGGATGTAGATCATTATATGGAATCTCTTCGAAATTTCAATTCACGTGAAACAGATGTTATTCTCTGTTCGTCAATGAAATCAGGTAAATGTAATATAAAGAGAAAATCATATTTATATTATATCACATCCGTATCAACCCTAGACACCAATATAATAATTAATGTATAGTACGGAGATATCGTAGACTCCCATGTCTGTGAAAACTTTGGCGTACGATTATAGACCTTGTTACCAGTAACCATTTACATGGATATTTGAAAGATATCTTGTTATAATAACAGGCATTGAGAAATATTTACATATATAATATAAACATAAGGAAATCGAAATGGCTTTCTAATACGTTTTTTTAAATTTTTGTATTAGCTTTATTTGTAAGTGGCTGCAAGCATATTTCTTTGAATCTTTTGAAAGAGTTGGTTTTTTTTTTGTGTGTAATAAAACAGTTACATTTCATGAATAGTTATGAGGGTAATAGTTAGTTAGTTGTCCCAGAGATATTATCTTTTGCCGGAGGTTTAGTCGCGGTCAATTATTTGTAAATGTGGAAACATTTATAACCAGTCCTTTAGTGTATAGTATTGTATTAATATGGCAATAAAATTATAGACCAAACACAAATGTAAACGGGTATTACGGAAAGGTAATTTTTGCAATCGCAAGGTAGAGGTGAAAAAAACTCCATCCGAATAATATTCACAAATATAAGTGCAGCATAACCTTCGTTACCAGTCAAACTAAACGTCATACATTTATGTACAGAGACATTTTGGATTTAGAAAAGTTATTGGTAATTGATATTGGTAATCAAAGTTTTTTTCCTATCTTAATAACTTAATTGACAATATGCAAGAAATGTATTTCAAACAAACACAAACAAAAACAAAGTGTATTAAGTTTTTGATAATGTCACTGATTTAATTCATTTGATTTTAAAAATAGTGATCAGTCCGGTGTCACGTTTTGGTAGAAACAATCATTTCCTACATTTATTAGACTGAACTATCAGATTATGTCGTTGAAGCACAGTTAAACTTTCGACCAAATTATGTGAAATTATGTTGGGACATTACGTGAGATAAAACTGATAATGTCACTATGCAAGTAAACAGTATCACAATATTTTTTACTGCGAACAAAATTTTGGTTAAAATGATGGACACAATGTCGTGAGACGATAATTCCTGTAAACTATCTGATGTAATGGTATTTCATAATCAATATCAAATTTCTTTCAGTGTCTAGATTGATTCATTAGCTTTAAGAAAAAAATAAAGTTATTTCAGAAATATGATTGATAAAACGTAATTTTTGCACTTCCGCTATTAGAACACAGAGTGAGTCTCAAACGAAAAAAAATCAGGTATACAATACCAAATGGTCATTCAAAATTCATTACTCCAAGGAAAACCGACAACACTCTCAAATATATGTCTTTTTTAGGCTGCAATAAATTGAAAGGCCTTACTTCTGGGTTTTGTTTTCATATATAATTTTTTTCGTCATATTTATTTTCCTGTAGGTTGAAAACATATTACAGATCCCGTAAATAAAACTTTCAAGTTGACAGTCTCCACTTTTTTCGATGAGGCTCATATATTATCTTAATATATTAAACCGTATTAAAACTTTCAAATTTAATATACGGATGTTTTTTTCATGGACATTCAAATAAAAAAAAGTCCTATATAAAAGTTATGCATGTCTTTTATATAATTTATCATAGGTTCACACTGGGTACATGAAATAGTGTCCATGCTTTTACATCAGACCACCGAATATAACAAACATGGTGTACTCAATGCTTGTAACTTTGAATGTCAACCTGACTGGGACAAACTGGAACAATTGAACAATCCAAGATTCTTCCACACACATTTGCCCATGGAGTTTCTGCCAAGAAAGCACGTGGAAAACGAATACAAGATTATATATCTGAACAGAAACCCAAAAGATAGAGCTGTATCGCAGTATTTATTTTTACAAGGAAAGGAAGGAGTACCTGTGATGACATGGAATGAGTTTTTTGAAAATTTCGTTGTCATGGGTAATATCTTAATTTATTTACATGTTTTGAAAAACTGTAATACAGTTTTCTTGCAAATTACTCAATAAACATTGTGTAAAAATTAACATAAAACCTTAAGTTATTGACATATTAAAAAAAAAAATTCCAAAGGCTTAAAAAATGTTTGAGCTTTGATATGTACATAATATGGGTCGTTTTCAAAATCCGTCCACATCTTAGATAAAAATTGAGTAACTATTTTACCAATTTAATTCAATTTTAATTAATCTAATTAACTCTGAATTATTTATTTGAACAAAATCTAAAATATGCAGTCTTAATGAAACTGGGAAAATCATTTTGAAAGCAAAATGAGATTACAGAAATTACGGAATTTGTCAACTACATACGGATAGCAATTCGGTTGATATTTTAATGTTTGGTACTTATAAATGATGACCTTTTGCTTAAATATCATAAGATAAATTTACTTCTTCTAATTACTTCGGTTATTACAGTGTTCAACGACCGATTTTGACTTTTGTTTTTTGTCACCTACATATATAATGATATTGTTAAGTACACAACAAAAATGTCTACTACATATCAAAATTAGGTCAATTGTCATGTAGTTGACCGTTATGTAGTGGATGTATTCACACTTTTGGCATTTTTTAATACCACTGATACTTCGACATCACATACACTATGCTTTTTCTATAAAACACAGAAAATTTATTATAATGACATAGATGTGGACGTGATGTTCCATTGTTATCTTTTAAAAAAATCCCGTTACCAAGTGGACAAGTTAAAAAAATACGGGGCTACCTCTACCTACTGAAATGGCAATAATTGTTGATACCATTTACAGAGTTATCTTTTTATGCTTCTATAATTATAATGATATGTAGAGTTACTGCTGAGGAACTTTCTAGTTAAAAAGGGTGTCAGAAGTTATTTTATAGCAAGCAAAAACGTTTTCGTTATGCAGTTGACAAAATATCAAGGACACAATGAAAAATTAAAATAAATCTGAAACCATAGCCAGCTACTATTTAAAGCATTTACAATATCATTCTACATTGTATTTTCTATCTTAAAACAGAAAATTGTAAGATTTATGTAATTATAAAGATGTCTATATTGGTACGATATTTGGGATTTTTGGAGTGGGGACATGTAGTTTCGGGTAATTTTAGAGCTTTGAGCACGATTTCCAAGAAAATCAACGTACCTATTCCTTATTTTTCTTCTGCAAGTAGTAGAACTTACGTTGCACTATGGAGGACACCAACATTCAAATAATGATAAAGCCGTATTTTCCTCACAGGTCAACCGTACAAGAATATAGACAGTTTTTAAAAATGACCCATATATAACACAAACAGAAAGCTTTATATGTTAGAAAGCAAGGAAAAGAGGGTTATTGAAACTATTGATGTCAATTTTAAAGTTGTTTTTTTTCTTTCAAATCTGTGCATTGCTACCTCACTAAAGAGACATTAATTGTCGAAATGAGTATCTGGTACTATAAAATTGGTACTCTTAATGTAATTAATATAAAAATAAGAAGATGTGACATAATTGCCAATGAGACAACTCTCCACAAGAGACAGAACGACAGAGAAGTTAACAATTATAGATCACCGTACAACCTTCAATAATGGGGAAAACCCATACCGCATAGTCAGCTATAAAAGCCCCGAAAGACAAATGTAATAAATTCAAACGAGTAAACTGACAGCCTAATTTATGTACAAAACAAAGAACAAAAACCAAATATGATATACAGCAACAAACGACAACCACTGAACTACAGGCTCCTGACTTGGAACAGGCACATACAGAATGTGGAGGGGTTAAACTAGTTTGATGGCGCTAAAACCTCCCCCTAACCTGGGCCATGACAGTGGTGTAACAGTACAACATAAGAACAAACTATAAAAATCAGGTGAAAAGGGCTTAACTCATCAGATTGAAACAAAGCAGAAAACATCTAACAAAAAACACAAACCGGACGTGGCAATATATTCTTTCATCCTCACTAAAAAAGACACTAAGTAAGTCTTTTTCTTTGTCATTCTCCGTTTCAGAATCTGATCGACTATGAGCAATTTCTTTTTTCGTACCTCAAAACGAAAATAAGGCATTCGTTAGATTTCAATCATTAAGGACGTTGTTAGCCAATCACGACGCCGTTTGATGTATGCTTTCGGATATATTATCCAGAATGAATTATAGGATGTAACGGCGAATGATATTGTTATAATGTAACGGTTTGTTATGCACCTTCTTAGATTTAACTATGTCTTGTCTTACATGTACTTATCGAACTAAAAAGGAAATTATTAAATTTTGGATGTAACACGTCTTCTGACTGGCAGGGAATAGTTTAAGATATGTAAAAATACTAGGTTAAAATACACTACTAGGAGGCAAAACATCGGACAAAGTAAAAGAAGAATCCGGAGTACCACAAGGATCAGTCTTAAGACCCAGTTTCTTTCCTTTTTTACATTAACGACCTACATGAAGGCCTACCCTGAACAACGAGACTGTTTGCGGACGATACTGTTGTTTATTTGACCATTTCCTCAGACAAGCCTGCAATAAACTCCAAGAGGACCTGGACAAACTTGCTTAATGGAGAAAACTTTGGAAAATGGAGTTCCACTCTGAAAAACATCAAAATAAAAAAAAAAGAAATACTAGCCTCAGCCATGCAAAGGTATACTCTGACCCTAATGTATAGAACATAAAGAGCATAAGAAAGATTAGAGATTAGACAATTCCTAAAGTTGTTAGTACGTGTTTTGTTAACAATAAATATACCAGGAAAGCTGAGCTTAATTGCTTTTTTTCATTTCAGATACTATATACGGTGGATGGTTTACCTTTACTAAAGAATTTGAGAAAGCACTATCTGAAAAAAGAGGAAATATATTACCAGTCACTTTCGAAAAACTAAAGATTGTAAGTAAAAAAAAAATTTAAAACTTGTCATTGCATTCAAGTAGTTGTAAAAACCTATTTTTCAATTAAAGTTGCTTTTGTGGAAATTTCGACTAGGTATTGGTAAAAACAATCATTCTATACAGTAAAATTGACGCTAAACACATTTTTGATTTCATTTGTTCATGATCAGTCCATGTCAATGGGTTTGCTTTTATCAAAATATTTCAGGTCGGAAAACAAACTTTAAAAATTGTGTACGCCAGACACGCGTTTCGTCTACAAAAGACTCACCAGTGACGCTCGAATCAAAAAAAGTTAAAAAGGCCAAATAATGTATGAAATTGAAGAGCATTAAGGAAAGTTCCTAAAATTTTGTTAACAGTAAATTTATAATTCTGACTTTATCAATGCTATTTTATGTCAATACAGAAGTGCTGACTACTGGGCTTGTGTATCCTTTTTTGCCTATTTAAAGAAATGAGCTTTATCCTGTCGTTTTTTCACTATTAGCTGCTTAATCTTTGGTAAATCCTTTTGAATGCAGAAGGATAGATATATATACTTAGTTCTTATCATATATAGAGGATTTGGATTACGTAGAAAACAATACATACATTAAAATCGTACCTTATTGATTTGAACTGTTGTCCTTGGATTCAATTTTAAATGTATGTTTGTAATCGAAGTAGAGATACTTAAAGGGAGATGTTTGTAGTTTTACTTTTGGAGCTACAATGTACCGGCAGTACATATGTGTGTTGTCATTGCTTATTTAATCATTATCTTATTTGATTATAAATGTCAGCTTCTTTAATTGTTTATGTCATCCTTATTCTATAGGATAATCGAATATATTTTTTGAAAAATATACCTTAATTTCCGCATCTACCTGCATTTTCTTTCCAAATACGTTCATCTTCAGCTAAATTCAGACGGCAGTAGATTTTCAGTTTAAGTTATGTTTTTCCCCATATATTTAACAAAACTAAAGGTGAGCCTAAAAACTCGTTTTTTTCTTTTGCAATAAGGAGTCAAGTGATCAATTATAAACGCAAACAAACAGTTATATCTTATTTGCATGAGCATCTCTATACTATGATAGAACCCAAACATCATCTGAAACTGTTATAAATATTAAATGATATCCTAATATTCATCTGAAAGAATTTCATACATAGGTTATAGCAGTAAACAAAAAAGTATAACAAAAATACCAAGCTCCATAATAACTGACAAAGTCAAACGTTATCAGCCAATGGAACGAGTGAAAAACAACTGTCGTATTCCTGACTTTTTTTTAATACAGGCATATGCCGAAGAAAATAGAGGGATAACCCTCCCCTTGGTGTGACGGTTGTTTATAGTTCCGTAATATTGACAAAACCGAGTGAGCAACCCAAAACTTATACTGAATCCTGAATCTATAATTGTACATGAAAACATATCTACCATTTGTCTACCATGCCAACACTGTCAACATGGTAAACAAATCATTTCCAGTACTTTTACTGAAGCATTATAGGTAACGACTTTGAAATATTTGTTTTTATAAAAAAAATGTTGTACATGTTTGATTGCAAATGCGACAACTATCCACCATCTACCACAGTTAAAATTGCGCGGTTTTAAGCAATTAAAGCTGAACGTACGACCTTTAAAAATGCTCAAAATCAATACTGTAATCAGGGGCGTAGCTGCCGTTAGGCAATTTATGCACGTGCCTACACATATTTTTTTTCACAAACAACGTTATCTGTAGACTCACGCCAGTGAAGTCGTCCAAACTATTTAATTATCGAATGTCAGGTATGCACTAGTCTATCATCCTTAGTGAATGGAGTATTGGATATAATTGTATGTCATCATATTCCCTCTTATATAGAAACAATAAACTAGAACTTTGGTTCAGATCATTTCACTTCTATTAACAAATACTTGAATGAACCTCAACTGAGACACATGATTTTTTTAATTAGTTGTTGTTGGCTTTCAACTAGCTTTCCACCTGGTCTTCATCCGACCTACAGTAAAACCCTTGCCAAAGTTGGGCGTCCGTTTGGCTGTGCAGCATGTATATATACGCAGTCACGTCTGGTCAGAATGGGGACGTTAAATCCGATGCCTAGTGTAGAGAGAATGCCACGATCTCTGCACGTTAAGAAACTTGCAACAACTCTTTGAGGGGTTCGTAGGTGGTCTACTGAAAGGCAAAATGTCTGTTCCTATCCAATAAACCCTCATTTTCAAATGCATGGCGTTTCCAAATTTCCAAACCTGTTTTTGTCCTGAACATCCATGAACTATTTGCCCCTGGACGTTTAGCAATCAATCAATCAATCAACTAGCTTTCAGTAACTTCGAGTACTCTCAGATCTAAGTGTAATGATCATAAGTATTCAAATTCCTAAGCAGGTAGGGATTTTACAGTACAGGATATAAGGAAATATGAATTTCTTGAATTTTGTTCAATAGTATAAACAGAACAGAACTGCTGAATGTGTGTATGTGTTTGTGTAGCCAGGGGACGGTGAAGGTTTCTTTTAAATATAGGATCGTCAATATGTACTATCAATTGACGTATATATCAATTATCCTCAATCAGAAAAGAATAGATATGAAAATACTGAACAGGTTGTGCTGCTTAATAAAGGGCTACGCTGATCCACGCTGGGCAATGCATATTGTAAATTTTTTTTTTTAATATATTTCCGATTGTACTGCAGGTTAATTCATCAGTCAGATGTAATTGTAAAATTGTGTATATTATAATTTCTTCGAAATTTTTTTCATGTATATTATCATGATAAAATGACCAGTTTTCATGTCTTTTTTGTAAACAAAATTTTGCAGCTAAAATGTTGAAAACCGTTTTCCGTCGGGGGACTTCGCCCCCCTGAACCCCCTACCAGGGCTCATTTGGATACGTAGCTACGCCCCTGATTATAGTCCGCTTCAAAAGGGTTATTGACAAGAAAAATTAAAACAATTAACATTAAACCCAGCGGGTTATTTATTATGTAAATAGATAATTTTGGTAGAATAATATTCATAATTATGATAATTATACCATTGTATACAGACCAAGAAATTTATCGGTCCAATGTTTATGTTTCATGTTTTCTTTTAGGCAACTATTCCAACTCTTCTGGAAATAGCATCGTTTCTTGGTATTTTAGTTGACGATAATTTTATCAAAGACATCGCCGATAAATGTTCTTTTGAAAATTTGAAAAAGAATAAAATTGACGGAACAACAACTATACATCCAGAGGGCAGATCAACACTGTGGCGTAAAGGTAAACACATTGGTCTTCAAGTTTGTCTTTGGAAGTCTGGTTTTTTTTTCGAAGGATTCGAGTGTTGTTTGTTAATTTTGTCTGTTGTACTGTCCATAACTTATGGTGATTCCTGTTATTCTGGTTATGTATTATTGTCTTGCCTGGTTATCCTACAATAAAAACATAAAAAGATAAAATATCTTTTAGGTATTGCAGCTTGTTGCTGCTATAACTGTGGTAAGTGGTCTTAACTTTGACTTTTTTAATTGTACAATTTCATATTTACCCTTTTGTATCCACTAATTAAATTAAAAGTAGAGTGCAAAGTTTAAAAAGAGACAATTTAAGCAATTCATGATTAGTTTATTTTATATGATCATTTCTTAATATTATTTTATCGTTTATTGAAGTTTTTGTTGATGACAGAGCCTAAGTAGTCTCTCAAATTAATACACACAGTTTTAAACATCCTTGGTCATTTTTAGCTTGAAATTAAGTTATAATAATTTAATGCTTTTATCCAAACCTATATAACATTTTCCTTAAAAACTATTGAACTTAAGTTTTGAATCCCCATAACAGAGATACGTAATGCATTAATACATATCTATGTAATTGGGGTGGTGCGATGTGATTGTTAATGAAAGTACTATTCACTAGAGACCAAGGAACATGCCTTTAAGCAATAGATCACAGTTAGGCCTTTAACAATCAGTAAAATCTATACCATATAATAAGCAATAAAAGAAATTTTACCATTTTATATACTAACTAAGCATTCTCTACAAACCTCATCAGTCTTATATATCTATATATATATATTGACACGAATACACACGCGCTCACACATACGCACACACACACACACGCACGCAGTCATATATATTTATATATAATAGAGGTATAATTTAGTCAAATCCTAAGCATGCAGAGAATCACAATTCACTAAGGACGTATGAGCCGCGGTGTACTTGTATTAATGCAATACTCGCACTTGAGAACATGTCAGGGAAAAAAAAGTCTAAAAAAAGGAATAAAAGAAGAATAGTTTGCATTTTATACTTATGAAAATAAATTTTACTTATTCACTTTCAACTTGAACTTTTTAACATAATTATTTCTTTTTGATTCCTTAATTTTTGGTTATTAAATCCAAATAATAATACTTAAAGTAATAATCCGATATTTTTATTAATCAATCAATAAATAGTATGACTTAAAAGAATTTTAAAGAAAAACAAACTCACAGACAACTAAAGGCATTTTGTTTACACCATAACAGGTATTTGAAAACTGGCGTAGGGTAGTCGTCATTAACCCAAATGAGTAATACCATTCTATGACAGACAGTAATCATATATAATTGTTAAAAATATATTTATAATTTGAAAACTTATTCATTTTAGGGATAATTGGAGACTGGGAAAACTGGTTTACAGTGGCACAAAATGAAAAGTTTGACCAAATGTATCAACGGGAAATGAAGGGATATGATGTAAACTTCGTATATATTTCACCAAAAGTTTAAATGCCATTTATGTTAAGATTCCGCTTTTCATTGTGTGGATAATTTTACTCTTTCTATTGATTGCTTGTCCTACCAATGCTTTGAAATTTTGGAATCATGTAAAATAATGATTTTTTTTTAACAAAGAGTATTGGAACCGATTAGCAAAATATGTAACATACGCCATGTTCCGATACCGCAATTTCAATTTGACGTTATTCAAAAAATGACAAAGACATAAAAATTTTTAAATGTTAATTAGTAGCGGCATAAGAATGTAAAACTCAGGTGCGGGATGAAGTTTTTACTTGATTAAGCAGATACATACAAAGGGAACATGATGTGGGCAGAAAGTGTGTTTTTCTTTGTGATAAAAAAAGTGACACATATATTGAAAAATGGTTATCAAAAAACAAATTAAGAAATCCTAATAAATAGCTATTCAGATGTCACTCTCATAGTGAAATTCTTATATTTAATAGTTATGATTTGTTTTTAAATCACTCTAAGATTTGTATTTTATATTATTACTTTATGGTATCGAATCTACGCGAGTTTCATTCAATACCAGTCTAAAAACACTTGACCAAGATAGCTGTCTTACCAGTAATTAAAACATATATTTTTAAACCATATCTACGATTCGAATCCAAATGGCATTTTTATGTTACTTTTAACTTGTTTCATTTATACGCAGTATATATAGCGCTGTTTTTGTTGGGTTTTATATTTTTTTACTGTTGTCATTTTTTGTGCTGCTTATTATATTTAGGGTATTATTTGTGAAACGTATGAATAATACAATGAATATTTTTGACACAAAACAGAGTGATAGTGATAGGGTATTCTTGTACCCGGCCAAGTAAGGACAACTAAAAGAAGTCAAAACACTTTTTTCGATGATTTTTTCGTGTTTAGAAAACATAAAACAGACATTTTTTCTTACAAATTGCACCGATTGTAGGCATGATTTTACTTCTTTTTATGGCTTTTACTAAATCGAGTACATTTTATGTTTAAAATCCTAAAATAAACCTTTATAGTAGAAAAATTGTTCAACATTCTCTATTTTAAAGCACTTTGATGCGAATAACATACCCATGCCTATGTTAAGAAACTCACAAATAATTTTCTAAGAGCTTTGGCAACTAAAGATGTTTAACATAACGTCACTAGTTGGTCGATTAGGACAATATAAACAATTAAATTGGTATGTATTGCCATCCTAGAAGATTTGTTTTTCCTCAGAACTGGATTAAGAATCTGAAAATCAATAGATTTGGTATATGATTTATCTTTGAAAATGCAAGTCTGTGCTTTCTGAGATGCCATAAGGAAGCCCTCCACAGTTAGCTATTAAACTAAAATTTACCCTCATAATTTTTAATCATCCTCTTTTCCGTGGTTTCTAAAAAAAATAAGCTTACTGTTTGTGTTATTTGTGTGCATGTGTGTATGAATCATCGGTATGTAATAGATATGATTTTACAAAAAAACGAAATATAATTATGTTTGGTGTATTAATGGCAACAATATGTATCTTTTTGCCTTTAAGTATCGTAAAAAAGAACATGAAAATTGTCACTTGTCCCCAAGATTCGGATTAAGTAGAATTTAATTCATCCTAATTATACCTTTTCTGAAACCATCTACATGTATCTATCAAGAGAAAAATTTATTTTTTACTTTAATTTCTTTACCTATGACCGGTATGGATATGAAAATAACGACTGTCACACAGGAATTAGCCAATAAAACATACAAAAATAATCTTGATATTCACTCTGAATTGTTCATAAGCTATGTAAAAAATAATTCTATTGCACAATACATATCATATTTGAAAAATGCATCGGGCCAAAATGCGAAACCACACGTCTCCTAACTTTGGAAGGTCAATCTCATTAACGTGTTTCTGTCTTGTATAGGAATTTCACTAGCCAAATGACGTTAAACATGTTAAACAGTCATTCATAGTCATCATCATCCTATTATTCAACGAAGTCAACTATTATTGTTAATGGAACATATAAGAATTAATTGGTCTGCCAATAATTAACATTTTATGATAGCTTCACACTCTGATTTTATACAATAGCTGAAAATCATTCAATTCATACTACTATACCAACTTCACCTGTATATGGGATATACATTTCCCAATTCATTCGGTATTCAAGAGCTTGCAGCTGCTACTCAGACTTTATAAAACGTCACCAGTGTCTGAGCAGAAAGTTGATGAACCGTTATGTCAAAGAACGTCTCGTACTTTTTATAAAAAAAAGTTCATCGGAAGATATCAAGACCTTGTCGATGAATATTACGGATCAACTTCACAAATGATAAATGATGGTCATGAAGTATAGATTTGAGTTACTGACGTTGTTTATCATCTTGATTACGTGATATAGTGTTCTTTTTATTTGTCTATGTATATCTTTAACCTTTACTGTTCATTCCATTTATGGTAATATCCTATGGCGTGGCTCGTTATTTGTACATCCCGCCATTGTGTTATTGTGCTATGTTCATTCTTAGCTCACCTTGGCCATTAACTTTTACAAAAATCTTCTCCTCTGAAACTACTGGGCCACATTTAACCAATCTTGGCCACAATCATCTTTAGGGGAACTAGTTAAAAAAAAATTGATCAATGACCCAGCCTGCCAACCAACATGGCCGACATGGCTAAAAATAGAACATAGGGGTAAAATGCAGTTTTTGGCTTATATCTCTGAAACTAAAGCATTTAGAGCAAACCTGACTAAAGTAAAATGTTCATCAGGTAAAGATCTATCTGCCCTGAAATTTTCAGACGAATCAGATAACCCGTTGTTGGGTTGCTGCCCCTGAATTGGTAATTTTAAGGAAATTTTTTGCAGTTTTTGGTTATTATCTTGAATATTATTATAGATAGAGATAAACTGTAAACAGCAATTATGTTCAGCAAAGTAAGATCTTCAAATAAGTCACATGACCAAAATTGTCAATTGACTCCTGAAGGAGTTATTGCCCTTTATCGTCAATTTTTAACAATTTTTCGTAAATTTTTGTAATCTTTTACAAAAATCTTTTCCCCTGAAACTACTGAGACAAATTTAACCAAACTTGGCCACACTCATCATTAGGATATTTAGTTTCAAATATGTGTCCGATGACCCCGGCTTACCAACCAACATAGCCGAAATGGCTAAAAATAGAATATAGGGATAAAATGCAGTTTTTGGCTTATATCTCTGAAACTAAAGCAATTAGAGCAAATCTGACATGGGTAAATAATGTTCATCAGGTTAAGACCTATCTGGCCTGAAATTTTCAGACAAATCAGATAACCCGTTGTTGGGTTGCTGCCCATGAATTGGTAATTTTAAGGAAATTTTGCAGTTTTTAGCTCACCTTTTCCAAGGAACTTGGCGTCCGTCGTCGCCTGCTGTCGTCGTCGTCTTCGTCCGTCATCGTCGTTCGTCCGGTGTAAACTATTTCAAACATCTTCTCCTCTGAAACTAAGGAACCAATTCCAACCAAACTTAAGCTGAATGATCCTTAGGGTATCTAAAATAAAGTTTGTGTTTTATTTTTTGTTTCGTCAAAAAAAATGGCCGCCATGGCTAAAAATTAAACATAGGGGTGTAATGTAGTTTTGGGCTTATATCTCTGAAACTAAAGCATTTAGAGCAAATCTGATATAGGGTAAAGTGTTCATTAGGTCAAGTTCTATCAGCCCTGAAATTTTCAGATGAATCTAACAACCCATTGTTGGATTGCTGCCACTAAATTGGTAATTTTAAGGAATTATTATTATAGATAGAGATAAACTGTAAACAGCAAAAATGTTCAGCAAAGTAAGACCTACAAATAAATTTTATGACCAAAATTGTCAATTGGCCCCTTAAGGAGTTATTGCCCTTTAAAGATAATTTTTCACAATTTTTTTTTGTTCATCTAGTTTGCTTACTTTAAAAAAATCTTCTCCTTTGAAACTGCTGAATCAATTTCATCCAAACTTGGATTGAATGAGTTTCAGAGTATCTAGTATGAATTTTGTATTTTATTTCCTTGTAAGTCAAGAAACATAGCCACTACGGCTAAAATGGAACATAGGGGTAAAATGCATTTTTTTGATTTTGAAGAAATATGACAGATTTAAAGAACATTTAAATGGCAATTTTAAGCCACTCGTTAATATATATTGAAAAGCAAAATAATCATTGATGAAAGATTTAAGCAAAAAATTACAGGCTCTTGAGAGCCTCTTGTTCGTATTCTTGTCTTTCATTTTTAGCTCACCTGGCCCTTTTTGGGCCAGGTGAGCTTTATCATCACTTGGCGTCCGTCGTCGTCGTCGTCATCCGTCGGCGTCCTTGAACTTTTACAAAAATCTTCTCTGAAAAAAAGGTAAAATAACAAAAAATACCGAACTCCAAGGAAAATTTAAAACGGAAAGTCCCTTATCAAAAGCTCAAACACATCAAACGAATGGAAAACAACTGTCATATTCCTGACTTGATACAGGCATTTCCTTATGTAAAAAATGGTGGACTAAACCTGGTTTTATAGCTAGCTAAACTTCTCACTTGTATTGAAACTGAAACTACTGGGCAAATTGAAACCAAACATCTAGTGTCCGATGAAGAAATATTTTCGACTTTTGGTTCATATATTTACAAATGAATATTCTCCCTGATTAATTTGTGTTATATAAAAAGGGAAATAAGGTTCCCTCATGTTTAATTTTATCATATATAAATAATTAACAGTAAGTCACAAAAAGTTATAAAAATATGCACACATACTAAGTAAGTGTACGATTATAATCTACTAACAGTGATATTGAGGAAAGGACAGCAGAGGAGGTAACTAGATTAATATCTGATACGATGATGAAATCCTGTCTGGTAACCCCTTCCCTGTGAGTTCATTAACATATCTGATATCATTTAAGATATATTCGTCGACATGGTTAACATATTTAAACCAGAATGAGTTAAAACTAATAAAATCAAACGGAATATTTTTGTAATCCGTATAATATTTTTCGATAGAGTATTTTTAATGAAATGAAAGAAATCTGCCAGGTCATCTAGTTCCCATAAAAATTCGCAGTATGTCCTAATGTACCAAAGATAATAACGGTTAAAAAAACTGTAAACAGACATGTGCATAAGTAAGTTATCAAGCACAATTATCAGTATAACTTGCAATCACAAACTGTGTTTGAAAATGTGGCAAAAATAATGTGATCGATCACTATGGGATTAGTTGATTCCTGGATAAATAAAAAACGTCCCATGGATAATCCTGAAATGCTACAGAGAAGAAAATTGGAGACGATTAAAAGTGGAAAAACAATGTCCTGATACTCTATGAAGGTTTCATGAAGTGACATTCCACCGAAAATTTAAATAAGTAGAAATGTGTGCAAAAACTAATTCAAATTTATCTGGCGAAATGATTTATTTTGCTTACCTGGCCTAAAAATCCATAAGAGCTTTGCCATCATTTGGCGTCCATCGTCGTAAACTTTTTGAAAAATCTATTCTCTGAAACTGCTGGGCTAAATGTTACCAAACTTTACCTGAATGTTCCTTGAAGTATCTTTTTTAAATATTAATACCCATCAACAAATATGGGTGATGTTGTTAAAATTATATTTTAGGGATAAAATGCAGTTAATGGCTTATATCTCAAAAAACTATATTTAAACTAGATCCCCTAAGGACCATTTCGTGCGTCCGAAGCACTTTTCTGGATTTACTTTAATCAGGAAAGCTCAACCATTTTATACTCATTTGTGTGTCTGTTATAATAAACTTCCACAGTTTTTTATTGAAGCTTTATTTATGAAACATTGGAACCAAAACTATATAGAATATGTGTAACTGATATTGTTGTACAATAATTATGTACAGTAAATATTTTTTTGTCGAAAATTAAACATTTTAGCAAATTGATATTTCTTTCAGCTAATAACCAATAAGAAACAAAAAAGTTGCCAAAACATGTGTTTTGCTCAATAAAAGAAGTACTATAAATGTATTTACCACTTTTTTCACGTATAAATTATAATAATAATCCTAATATCATTTTTACAATAGTTCACCTTTTTTCTCATTGGATGTTAGTTCATCATCTGTAAAAGAAATTATAAGTCTGTTTGTGTTATTTGTGTGCATGTGTGTATGAATCATCGGTATGTAATAGATATGATTTTACAAAAAAACGAAATATAATTATGTTTGGTGTATTAATGGCAACAATATGTATCTTTTTGCCTTTAAGTATGGTAAAAAAGAACATGAAAATTGTCACTTGTCCCCAAAATTCGGATTAAGTAGAATTTAATTCATCCTAATTATACCTTTTCTGAAACCATCTACATGTATCTATCAAGAGAAAAATTTATTTTTTACTTTAATTTCTTTACCTATGACCGGTATGGATATGAAAATAACGACTGTCACACAGGAATTAGCCAATAAAACATACAAAAATAATCTTGATATTCACTCTGAATTGTTCATAAGCTATGTAAAAAATAATTCTATTGCACAATACATATCATATTTGAAAAATGCATCGGGCCAAAATGCGAAACCACACGTCTCCTAACTTTGGAAGGTCAATCTCATTAACGTGTTTCTGTTTTGTATAGGAATTTCACTAGCCAAATGACGTTAAACATGTTAAACAGTCATTCATAGTCATCATCATCCTATTATTCAACGAAGTCAACTATTATTGTTAATGGAACATATAAGAATTAATTGGTC